ACTGTTTCCCCCCACTGCAGTTAGATCTTAGGGCTCTCGGATCTGGGAGTTCTCATGTCTAGTCCCAGGGGCATATGGAAGCCTAAAGTTAGGACTCCAACACTTTATCATTTTAGTTTAACATCTCTCTTTATATTAATTTGGGTACAAAGTTGTTCCAGTGTAGCTTGTCTCTACAAGCCTAACTACATGAAATGTGGTCTGTGGGTCCGTCTGTCCCCCAACCCCCAACCCCGGTTCTGACAGGCACTAGCAGTCGCTATTTGCCCCATTTATTTGCCCGATCTCCAGCTACCACCTAGAGGTTGGCAACCCCATCTTATTCTGATCACAGGCATTCATAAGACATCTTTTGTTTATTTGCCTGTTTGTGTTTGTCCGCCGTGGCTTAAAGGATGTTCTCTTCTCACGTAGGAAACTTTGCTGGATACAACTGCGGGGATTGCAGATTTGGCTGGGCTGGCCCCAACTGTGACGCGAAGAAGCCTGTGGTCGTTCGGAGAAACATCCACGCATTGAGTGAAGAAGAGCTGGAACAGTTCTTGGAGGCTCTAGACCGCTCAAAGACCACCGTCCACCCTGACTATGTCATTGCTACCCAGCACTGGCTGAGCCTGCTGGGCCCCAGCGGAAACGACCCACAAATTGTGAACTGCAGCATCTACGACTACTTTGTGTGGCTTCATTATTACTCGGTCAGAGACACCCTGTTAGGTAGGCACCGTCCATCCCTGAGGGGCGGGAGATAAGGGGGGGAAAGCAAGGGATTGTAACTGAAGCCAGGCAAGCTGGCTTTTAAACTAGGAGCATTTCATTGACTTGTATCCTGCCACTCCACTCAGCCAGATTTCAAGCTTTCCTCCAGCCTGTGGGGCCTTCTTCTTCTTAAAAAAAAGAAGTCCTCTTAAGGCTTCACATTTGGCTGAGGAGAGTAGTAGGACACAAGCCACTGTAGATAACGCACTTAATAAGAATTTCTGGCACACTGTTTGCAATTTATTTAGACTCATATTTGCAAGAGGGAACTAGTTCGCTGCAGATCCATCTGTTTTGGGGAGCAGAGTAACTGCCTTGGAGGATAAAGCCGCAGGCTAACAGGAAGGCCGGGAAGACTAAAACAGATTGGCTGGCTCCTGGGCCTCTCTGAAAAGTGGCTCCAACTGCTGACATCAAGAGATGTGGCCTTTCACGTCATGGGAGATGAGCACTTTGCTTGCTAATATATGCTGATTAAGGGCTATTCAGAGCGTCAGAGTAGAGGCTGGTGGACATGTTGACCTCTCTGCTTGTGAACGAGTGCATGTTTTGTTATCCATATTTCCAAGAAATTTAATTTGGGTTTATTCTTCACGGTTCTCTTGGTGAGGGCATTTTGTTAAATCGAACAAGTGGCTGGTAGAAGAACATGTTTTCCCTTTCTGACTTTTGACACTTGTTGTACCTTAGGACCTGGCCGACCCTTCACAGCAATAGACTTCTCACACCAAGGACCCGCCTTTGTTTCTTGGCACAGGTATCACTTGATGCTGCTGGAGAGAGATCTGCAGGTTAGCTAAAAGCACACACACAAACACACAACCGGCCTATATCTTAAGGTTATAATTGGAACAGCTACTAGTCTCCACATTACCCCCAATCCTCAGCGTTGTGAGTTTTCCTAAGGACATTTTGGAACTTCCTGTGTGGTCCGGTTTGGCTCTGCAGCAAAAACTGGAAATGTGAGAAGAGGTTCCTGGGAAAAGAGGTACAATATGGCACAGGGAATTTGGAGTGTTTGTTTACTGCTTGCGTCTGCTGCACTGACAGGCAGGAGATCAGCACACGCGTGTGTGGGAATTCAGTGGCCTGAATGAATGCTTTTGACAGCCATAACTATCCTACTCCAGTGTGGCTATCCTGTAAGACAAGGGGGAGAAAAGAACTTTATTTTTGAGATTCTGCCAGTATAAGTAAAACTGACAGGTCAACAGGTGGTATCTGTCTATCTGTCACTCTTAAACTGGCACCGTAGGAAGGCAAATCAAGAACGAAAAGAGACCCTGATATGCCCATAAGACGCTGCTGTAAGTTAATTATACATTGCAAGAAGATGAGTTTCCTTTTTTGAGAGTTATCTGACAATTTTACTGGATGCTCGTGGGATCTAATATTCTAAGACTGAGAGAGAATAATTTCCCTCTAAATACCCTTGCTATATAAGTCTGAATCTTGTAAACTTCTGTCATGTTCCCCCTGTTGGTTTTCCCTCTATGTCTAAAACACTCCAAATTTTCTTAGTCTTTCTTCATATGGGGGGGGGGGACCTCCATTAGCAGGTTAGCAATTGAGCTGCGATGGCTCAAGTTGTTAAGACGCTGAACTGCAGGCTGTGGAAGGTCAGTAGTTCAGCAGTTCGAGACCCGGGTGCCGCATGACGGAGTGAGCTCCCGTCTCTAGTTCCAGCTCCTGCCAACCTAGCAGTTCGAAAGCAAGAAGTTGCAAGTAGATAAATAGGTACCACTTCGGTGGGAAGGTAACAGCGTTCTGTGCACCTTGGTGTTTAGTCATGCCGGCCACATGACCACGGAAATGTCTTCGGACAGCGCTGGCTCTTCGGCTTTGAAACGGAGATGAGCACCACAACCCTAGAGTCGGATTCAACTGGCTTTCGAGCAAGGGAACCTTTACCTTTACCTTAATTCACCTTTGACTTCCTTAAGAACCCTTGGAGAAATGCCATCTGGACCTGGAAACTCATTAGTCTTCCATTTTCCTAGCAGTCTGGGAACATAATCTCTTGCCACCTGAATTTGACTCAGTACTTCAGACACCCTTCCCCAAAATAGCAGCTCCAGCCTGGGTACGGGCTCAGCATTTCCCACAGTGAAAACAAACAATGAAAAATCTAGATCCCCATCAGTGTACTTACGAAGTTAGGACATTTTGTCCCTATAGGCACTGCTTTGCGTTTACATATGATAAATCATGGCAGCCATTTTGTTGCCAAGTTGTCTCTTCCTTTGGAGTTCTCTCTAGGCTCCTTGGGACTCCATCATAATACATAAGACGACGTCATCTGAATGCTGGAGACTTTACTGTTAAGATTCTGATGGTAGATCAGACTTTACGAATAAGGGCTCTTTTTGTAGCAGGAACTCTTTTGCATATTAGGCGACACACCCCTAATGTAGCCAGTCCTCCAAGAGCTTACAGTAGCCCCTGCAAGAAGAACTCTGTAAGCTCTTGGAGGATTGGCTACATTAGAGGTGTGTCGCCTAATATGCAAAGGAGTTCCTGCTACAAAAAGAGCCCTTTAATGTGGGCGCTGTATCCATACATCCGTGGATATGGCTACATTAGCTATGTGCTATTCTTGTACTATAGCAATCAATCAGCTGGGTCTTCTTGTGAGAACAAAACAATCTAAGAGGTGAATGACTGCTATAATGAAACAATAGCATAATTCCAGAATGAAGAGGTGGTCCCGATTTGTCAGAAAAGTAGGATATAAATGCTGTAAATAAATACAGAATAATCTCAACCTAACAGGCAGAATGTAGCACACAAAGGAACTTAAGGGGCCCCTCTCTGTTCTTTCTTGTGCCACTTAACAAACGACTACAAATAGGATGCCGTCCCAACCAATGGGACTTACTTCTGATTCTACGTGCTTGAGATTGTGCTATGAACCCTTTGTGCCACAGCTGTCAAGCTGCTTTAGGAACCTTCGGTAAAGGACTGTCAAAAGTTCTTTGAAATTCCGAATAAATAGACGTTACTGTATCAGAATATTCCAATATCTCGACTAGACAAGGCTTTACCTTTATAGAAGCCACATGGATTCTCCATGTGTTTCCACGAAGAAGCTTTTCCTCTGCCTCAGTGTCCAAAACTGAAGCTCTTTCTTTTAAGATCTTCCATACGATGCCGCGCTGTAACTGTCCCGTTTCCAGGTTTTCCTCCTCCTCAGTT